TTAGAAAGACATTTTAGATGTTTTTTTTTAATAGGCCGATCACTTTCATCAAAAGTGATTTTAAAATTAATTCTGATTCTTTTTATTGCTTTTCTTTTGTACAATCCTTGTCCTGACAATTACGAACACAATAATAAAAATTGTCAAATTTGATGCAGTCGTTCGGAAGTGATACATACTTTACGGCGATTCATTTTATATTAGACTAGCCGACCCGGTGAACTTCGTAACGCCATAAAAAAATCGAAAATGTTACAGGTTACGTTCTTGCAGCCTTAAGTTTCAATAAATTATGTATAATTTCTATTATTTTAAAGCATATAACTGCTTGATGTTTAAATCTAAAGAAGGGGTTCGAGTCCCGTCTGCTGCCTGGTCCGCGTGGAATTTTTTCTAGTTATATTTCCTTTAAATATGTATACTTTGATAATATACACCCTAGCTACCGTATTAACTGTACTGAAGCGTTACAAAAAACATATACTCCACATGGCAGATATGCTTGTTGCTACACACGCACACATTGACTGCTTTAGTACAATCTGATAAGTCACATTGCACGAAATATGAGCAAAAAAAAACAAAATATGTGTAATTTGAGTCATTGAATTAAAAGTAGGTACCTTAAAAACTTCGAACCAACTATCAGATCAACCACACTTGTGTCGTAGTTCTTCAATACTAATTAACTAATAAGTTTTCATGTAACAAAGTTAAGCACTATGGAAAGCCTTGTGTTGTAATTTTATAATTAGGCTGATCATGGTGAAACATCACACTATTATTAATAGCAAAGGCAAATCATATCCTATGTTTCTAATATTATATTATTAATATTATATTTAGATAATAATTCTTTTTTTTTATCTTTTTTGTTTAGGAGCTTTTGTCCGATGCGATGACATGACAGCTCCATCAGATAATTCTTTTCTTGTAAAGTTTTCATAATGGTTATTGCTTAAAATACGACGACCTCCGTGACCGAGTGGTTTGTACGCCGGGTTTCATGGTGTCGCCGACTCGAGAGGTCCCGGGTTAGATTCCCGATGGGGGCAGATGTTTTTGTGATGAATACGAGCATTTTTACTCCAGTCATGGATGTTTAATATGTATTTCTATATAAATATACTTATATATTTATAATATATGTATTCTATCAGTTACTCTAGTATCCCATAATACAAGCTTTACAGTGCTTAGGGGCTAGGCTAATTGGTGTCAGAGTTGGAAATATTTATTTCATCATCATCAGCCTATTAATGTTCCCACTGCTGGGGCACAGGCCTTCACTATGGATGGAATAGGGAGCAATCTCCATGGCCATGACCCACCACGCGGGCCCAGTGCGGATTGGTGAGTGCTAACGACTGCAGATGCAACCGGGACCAACGGCTTAACGTGCCTTCCGAAGCACGGAGATAAATAATAATTCTTTTTACCCCTGGCCTAGCAATCCACCACATTCTATTAATAAATTTATTTATTTAAAATAAATGACATAATAAAAATCATCGTTACTGCTCGAAAATATGTTATGGTTCAAGCCAAAGAATGTATGTCATTTTTCTAAGCTTACTGATATCGTACCGACTGTACAATATTTTCTCAATATCTTATTGAAGCCCCATTAAAATAACAACGTGTTATTATTCTAAGGAAACTCCATTTGACATTGTAAAATAACATAGTAGATATTCGGAAGCGATGGCGTACTTCGCCTCATGGTATACTTATTGTCGCTACAACATATATTTTAATGGGGTGTGAGTGTTTTCCGAAACCACCAAATACTTAATTCGCAGAAGTTCGGAGTGGCCCCGAGGGTCGCTAACCACGAAGCCACACGCCCTTCGATAATTATATAAATGGATTTGTTTGTTTGAACACCGAAACGAAGCGACCGACTTCATGAGTAGTACCTACCCTACTTTAGGGTCAACACATATAACTGCGACTGCGAAATACGAACTCGCACAACGACACTTCGCAAAAACAAAGATGATAAACGAAAATTTCACCGCATACGATTTATACGAGATAAAAATTATCACATCAACTTATTGGAAAATTTATGTTGCCATGGAGGAGCTCGATGGCGAAAGTGGTTAGTTTATTCCGATCGTGGAAATTAAGCAACTTTCGCAATGGTCGGACATTGGATGGGTAATCAAAAGCTTATTATCTCGAGATATTTCGTGCTTCGGAAGGCATGTTAAGTCGTTTGTCCCAGCTGCATCTGCTGTCGTTAACACCGACCAATCCACACTGGGTCCGCTTGGTGGGTCACGCCCAATCTCATTCCATTCACAGAGAAGGCCTGTGGCCCACCAGTAGAGACATTAATAGGCTGATGATGAATATTGCCATGAACCGATCAAACCAACTGATATTATAAGTTTGTAGTTTGTATGTTTATTACTGTTTATCTTTCTTATTTTTTACAACTAGTATATTGCGCAATGCGTTCTGCGACGAGTCAGATATCTGCGACGCGTCATCGCACCGCAGCGTTATGTCCTCTCCCATAGTCCTGTATTGGACGTTATAATTAAATGTGGTCAAATCAACTGACTGAGCGCTTCGTTGAAAGTTTACACACGAGTTAATAGCAATGTACATACATACACAGGCATTTGCATAATATTAATTTGCTATTGGAATTTCGCACGTACAACAATGGTTTATTAAAGGGGAATGAGCAATTAATATTAAAAGCAAAATCTGTTATATTATTACCTACTAAGAGTCTTCTTCTACTCTGAACTAAACTGAGGACGAACGGACGGACAAGATGCATATAAAGATTTCTTGATGACTTGGAGCCCTAAAAAGGGCAGTAAAATATACAGAGTTGTACGAAACTAAAGATATAAACAAAAAATAGGGTAAACTAAGCTTTAGCCATCTTACTAAAAAATCAAATTAAAACTTTAATATGGACTTATTAAATTTAATTAAATTAAAAATTCATTTATTCAGTTTAGGCTTTTACAAGCACATGTAAAAGTCGAAAGCTTACGCCTTCGGTTCGCAAATCTACGTCGGAGACCTTGCACTGAGAAGAACCGGCAAGAAACTCCGCTAGGGCTGCATTTCGCACTGTTTTATTTTATACCACGTCAAAATCATCATTAATCAATCATTCAGTTTAGGCTGTTACAAGCACATATCATTAATGTGAAAAACTACGCCATACTTTTCTAAAGGATATAAACATTTATTATAAGTAGTCCTGCTACATTTCATAATTAAAGGCAATATTCTAGAAATCATCATCATCATCAGCCTATTAATGTCCCCACTGTTGAGGCACAGGCCTTCCCTATGGATGGAATAGGGAGATTGGGCCATGACCCACCACGCGGGCCCATTGCGAATTGGTGGGTGCTAACGACTGCAAGATGTAGCCGGGACCTACGGCTTAACGTGCCTTCCGAAGCACGGAGGAGCTCGAGATAGTAAATTTTTGGTCACCCATCCAATGACCGACCACTGCGAAAGTTGCTTAACTTCAACGATCGCAGCCGAACGCCCTAACCACTTGCGCCATCGAGCTCCATATCATACATTCTAGAAATATTGCTATGAAATATTTACTAATGGCGCGATTATACTTGGTCATTAGCCTGAATACGAATACCAATGGTATTCGGGTAAAGTGTGAAAAGAAAGGAGTACGCCGGTCTTTCGGTCCGTATTCCAGTGTAAATATTGCTCCGGGTGCCGAATTCGAGTAATGTCTTTCGTGCACCGTATTTGGGCTAAGAACCAAGTGTTATTGATCCATAAATGTAGGCAGATCCGATTATATATGGCTAATCTCATAAGCTCTCACACATAATATCGATATCTGCGAACGTTGATGATAAGGTTACGCTGTTAAGCTTATAATATAATCGATGGCCATCGAGATTAATGGGAATAATGAATTAATATTGTGCTGTTTATCTTAAAAGATCATGGTTGTGTCACAGGGAGTTGATGTTTGATTAATTTTATCTAGATAAAACCTTCATACTTTTTTTATTACTAGAACGGCTAACAAATATTTTCGGGATTCGAATCCAGAACCATCGTAACAGAGGGCAACAGCGATGTCGTTACACCAATCGGTTGTCAAATCTCAACTTTTAATACTTAACTTCGCTCCACCTGATGTTAAATGTGAGTTTAGTCCAGTTGCGAATTAAACTGATGCGTTAGAAAATGATCATTTCCTTCTAAACCTAACCTATCTCTCTTACTGCTCTCCCAATCTTCTTACCTTTTCTCTCACTCTCTTCTCTTTTTTATGCCTTTATTTTGACATTCTTTTCACCCCTGGTCTAGCAATCCACCACTTTTCATTAATATTAATCACGTACGTAGGCATAATTTGTGTTTACCCACAAAAAATCTGAATAAAAACCTTAACTTATCTTACTCTCTCTTATTACCTGTATAATGCTAGTCTTTCCCACTGCTGGGGCTCCGAGGATGACCATCTCGATGATATCAATGCTATCCAAACTGGGCTCCACGCTGGGAATCCCACCTTCTATCGAGGTGCCATCAGGTAGTCCAAGTCTAGCTAATTCCCCTCCCATTGCTGGGGCACAGGTCTTACCTATAGGGAAATTGGGCCATGATCCACTACGCGGGCCCAGTGCAGATTGATGGATTCTAATAACTGCAGATCCAGCTGAGACTTACAATGCTTAATGTGACTTTCTTATCACAGAGGAGCTCAATATATTAGTGTTTGGTCATCTATCTAATGACTGGCAAAAAAGGAGTTCGATGGATAAGCAACTTTTAAATTAGTTGCTTATCCATCGAACTCCTTTTTTGCGCCATCGATTTCCTAACCTTACTTCCTGTTATTACCTGTATGTTACCAGTCTTGCCCACTGCTGGGGCTTCGAAGAGGACCACTTTGATGAGGTCGAGGCTGTCCGGACTGGGCTGCACGCTGGGAACCCCGCAAGCTAACCTCACCTTACCTAACTCACTGTCATTACCTGTATGATGCTAGTCTTGCCCACTGCTGGGGCTCCGAGGAGGACCACCTTGATGAGGTCGAGGCTATCCGGGCTGGGCTCCACGCTGGGAACCCCGCCCACTGTCAGAGTGCCACCACCTCCTCGCTCCAGGTAGTCCAAGTCCAGTTCTGTAACAATATTTGTGATATTACCAGAAAAACCGGAAAGTTTCATATAAACTAAGCGCGCAACACAAACGGCCGTAACACTTTTTTATGTCATCTTAGTAGTTTGATTTTTTTACAGCTAAGAGAGTCCGTAAATATGTCTATGAAGTAAAGTTTTACTAGAAAAATCCACGCGGACCAGACAGCAGACAGGACTCGAACCCGAAAGAAATGACGCTGCCCTGCAGCCTAAGATATACTAAAAAAATCGACACGCCCATTAAGAGACCCAGATCTTGTTAGTATAGTTGGTTAGTGCCTCCGGCAGGACAGAGTATAGTGTGGGTTCGAATCCTGTCAGATTATATCCTACTAAAATTTTCTTAAAAAACCTATTTTATATCTCAAATAGTGTTTGAGTGTGCAGTACCCTTAGCAAGAACCAATATCGAATTCGTAACGTTTGCGAGTACGAAATGTCATTGTAACATACGTCGGTTATGTGCTGCTGTTCAAGTTTCGATACAAAATTTGATAATAAAATTTCGGACTCGCAAACTATTCAAATTCGATAATGGTTCTTGCTAAGGGCACCAATAGAATCTAAGCTTGAGAGGAACTTGAACTTGAACTTAACCCCGGCACCTGCTGGAACCCATTACCTAAGACTTTATTGATTTAATGAAGATTTTTTTCTAGAGAAAAAGCATTGATATCTATGCTAATATCTTAAGTGAAAGGTTCTGAATGCTATCAATACTTGCTGTGTTTTATGACACCTGACTTAAAAGCCCTTTCACATTTTTTGCAAAAAATTGAAATTTTTCTCCTCGTTTACCCCCTTAGAAAAGATTTTGATTATATCCAATTAAAGTAAATAGCAAATTTATTCTTCCTATTGAAAGTTAATGTAGAATATTTGCAAATACTATTTTCCTTTTTTTGTACTGATCGTTCTACTGCAGCTAGTTCACGGAAAAAACGATAATATGCACAACTTCAAACGTCTCAATCTCTCAATATTATTCAATAAATTTGATCAAATTAATTACTACGACATCAGTGATATGTTTTTGTTGTAACATAATGTATTAGAATTTTGATTTTCCATCATATTAATTATTAAAAAAAAGATCTTACCTCCGTGAGTTTTCGCAACAAATAATGCAGGTTTTTCCTCGTCTTTTGATATTGAATTAAATAGAATTACTATCAAAAACTTTCATAAAACTAATCTACCATCCTTGAACTACTGAAATATGTATATATTTTTATAATAAGTTCATTAATAATTATTTTATAAGACTCGAAACATCACCCGTAAAATGCAATATATACTAGTGCAAATTTACCTACGCGCCGATCAGTACGGCAGCGGCGCAATTTTGTAAAAGGGCTCTTAAGTTTAAACAATTTGTTTTTATTAGTTTGTACATTTGAAGAAAAAATTACCAAATGAGTAGCCAGCTATTTTCTACTAACTGTATAAAAATTTAGAGAACCATTATACTACGTAGTCTGATTTATATTTTTTGAGACAAATACCATTTATATTGTTCCTAATATCTCTACTGGAAGTTTTTAAATGCTAATAGTAGATTGACTGGAGAACTTTCAGTAGACTTTCACTAAAGAATACGTCTTTTATATTTTCACTTTGAAGAATACCTTAGTAAAAATTAACACGCTTTCTGATTTTCTAGTAAAATATTTTCGGCCGAGGTGGGCATTTATTTATATAGTAGTATTTTCTTTTACTAAATTATAACAATAAGCTATCTAAATCAATGAATTAGTACTTTCAACACATTTTCTCAAAAAAATCATATACGGAGGTTGTATACATTGTTCGGAAGTTCAAAATTACGGGCGCGTACGGTAAAGCAGTTTACCGCACGTTCCCCTACTAGGCGCCGTGCGTATCCTTTAATCAATTCATTTTACCTCGAACCTTCTTGGAAGCGCTTTTAGCATATAACTTTGCCACACTCATACCTTAAAAGAAGAATAGACGAAAGATGTAGTTCAAATTTTCACCACCCACACGTGGCGTCATTTGGAAATGTGCACCATTTTCTTATTAGAAGAAGTTTCCTTCCTTACTTTTATAAGTTAAGTATATTGAGGAGCTCGATGGCGCAAGTGGTTAGCGCGTTCGGCTGCGATCGTTGAACTTAAGCAACTTTCGCAGTGGTCGGTCATTGGATGGGTGACCAAAAATTACAATCTCCAGCTCCTCCGTGCTTCGGAAGGCACGTTAAGCCGTTGGTCCCGACTGCATCTGCAGTCGTTAGCACACACCAATCCGCACTGGGCCCGCGTGGTGGGTCATGGCCCAATCTCCCTATTCCATCCATAGGGAAGGCCTGTGCCCCAGCAGTTTGGACATTAATAGGCTGATGATAATGATGATACTGTTTACTCGCGCATGTATTGAAAAAAGTTGTATGACTCGGGCTTACGTTCGTCTATCGCACTAATATCATAAATACCTATTAACAAAACATATTATTTTAATAAAAGCAAAATTACACTTTTCTCTGTGATGAAGCAAAGAACAGTCAATAAAATTAGTTTTGACAATATCGAGCTATATATAGGCCAGGGCCGATAACAATTTTAGAGAACAAAAAAATTAGAACACGGTACGCTATAATAATATGTACAAATTACAAAAGGAAGCAAATAAACGGCGCCTTGAATAGACGACGACGACGACGTGACAAATTTGCATTTTCTGAGAAAATTTACCATAATTAGTGGTATTTTTGATGTTATAATGTCTTATAAATCGATGAACACCGAATGCACGCACGAAAAAGTGTCACGCGGAACAAGCGTCGACTTTTTCACATTTATTTCTCTTCTCGCGTAACGTCAGAGTTAGGAATTATACAATTTTTCATCAATATTTCTTAATGACGTTATCACACAGTGTTCGCACACAGTAGTGAAGAAGCGAGCAACCGTATTCCGTGTGTCTAAAGAGGTCATTTTCCATCCTCGCTCATGGTATGGTTGGGAGTTTCTTATTAGGGCTTCTGCTAAGCCCATTAGGTAGATACATTTTTGTGAGAAAGGTGTAAAAACGAATGCAGTTGTGTATCAAAATACAGTCCTAACGAACCTTGTGGAACCTGTTTCTCATACCATGTTTAATAACAGGCACTGGGTATTCCAACAAAATTCGGCTCCAGCTCATAGAGCTAAGAGCACACAAGATTGGCTGGCGGCGCATGAAATCGACTTCATCCGGCACCAAGACTGGCTCTCCTCCAGTCCAGATTCGAGTCCATTAGATTACAAGATATGGCAACACTTGGAGGAAAAGGCGTGCTCAAAGCCTCATCCCAATTTGGAGTCACTCAAGATATCCTTGATTAAGGCAGCCGCCGATATTGACATGGACCTCGTTCGTGCTGCGATAGACGACTGGCCGCGCAGATTGAATGCCTGTATTCAAAATCACGGAGGTCATTTAGAATAAACTTTATTGTCATAAGAATCTATGTTTTGTTAAGTTCATTTTGGTATATAAATAGTTACATAATGAATAAACTTGTTTCAATTATTTTGTATTAAACAAGTCACAGAAGTTATGACCTGAATAGGTAAATAATAAGCTAAATAAATTAAAAACAAAGTTTTTTTTTACCTGTAGTTGGGGACATTATAATAAAAACTTTTCTCAAATAAGCGAGTTATACTGATAAATCACCATATACATTAAACAAATAAGCCCCTAAGTATTACTTCCATTTCCAATTTTCATATACATTTATATCCATTTCCGTGTTATCGATACAAATGAAGAAAGAACACGTAACACAAAGCTTCTCCGAGATCTACATTAGGCGATAATGACCCCCTAGCGACTAACCGAAATAAAAAACATTTCCTCGTGCGGAATACAATTGGATAAAGTATAATGAATGGCTCTGAGATTAAAGGTACACAAACATAAATCAAGTTGTTAGATTAGCCGATTAGGCTAATTAAGTAGGTGGTGACTAAAACATGTACATGAGTACAAATTACGCTTAAGCAATACTAAATTATAATTTCGTTTAAGCAATACTAAATTAATTGCATGTAGTTAAAGTTGTTTGTGCGTAAGAAGACGTAGATGTTAATGAATTTAAATCTGGCATTGTCATTATATTAGAATGTTGGTGAGTCAAACAACAACTTAATTATTTTAGTCAACAATTTGTTTGTCAAATAACTGTTAAGTAATTGTTACGACTTAGTAAACAGGGAGGATCTCGATGGCGCGGGTGGTTAGCTCGTTCGGCTGCGATCGTTGAAGTTAAGCAACTTTAGCAGTGGTCGGTCATTGGATGGATGACCAAAATTTTTTTTGCTTGAGTTCCACCGTGCTTTGGAGGCACTTTAAGCCGTTGGTCCTGGCTATATCTGCAGTCGTTAGCACCCGTTAATCCGCACTGGGCCCGCTTGGTGAGTTATGATCCAATCTCCCTTTTCCATTCATAGTGATGGCCTGTGCCCCAGTAGCGGGGACATTAATAGGCTGATGATCATAATGAAACAATACCAACAATAAAAACCAGTGTAGATGTGCTTCGTAGCATCAATCAGTCGTAGCATTATAGTGTCGGCTACTTGATGCAATTAAGAATTCGCTACGTGCTACGTTTTTAGGCAGGGCTACGGATATTTTACTTTAAAATAATAGTTTATAAATAGCTACTTGAAATGACATAAACATTGGGCCACTTACTAATTATTCCATCTTTGTCAATTGTTGAAAGTCAAATACACTATTTTTGTGTATTTAATATAATAGTATAAAATATGTTAATGATAAATGTATGTAATTTTCTAACATTTTTATTCAATACTGATGCAAAATTTTGACGTCACTGGACCTTATTAACGTAATTTTCTTCCATAACCTGTAATATTTGCACGTTGACATTCAACAAAATATGATGGAAACTTAAGAAATACCTTTTAACTATTGTAACCATATTTTGGCAAATAAATGATTATTATTATTATTAGTACTTTGCCGTTAATTTATCTATTAGCTTAGTAATACGAAATTCCCTGGCTCAGCCCGATATAAGGAAAGAAAGGAAAAAGTGATGGAATATTCGTAAGTCCTATTATCGCCTTGCTCCCGCCACTTAATTCAGTATATTAGTGGGGTTCTCGTAGGAAAATACGGCTATTTAGTAGCCATGAATGTATATTTGTTACTGTTTATGAGGGCACCTATTTGGATCTAATCGTTTGAAGAACAAGTTAAAGTTAATAAGACGATAAAGTGATTTTGTTGTTGAAATGAAGTGAAAATCAACTTTGCTTAAGTTGACTTAATAAAAGTTTTTTAAATATAAGCACCAATATTTATTTCCTACCAACTGTGCAGGACAACTTTTAGCTGACAAACACCCCAGATTTTTATGAAGTAGCGACATTTACATAAAAACATGTCTTTAAAAATACAATTATTATAGATTATTATATTTTTAATGTGTTCTACAAATCAAGAATATTTAACATTGTATTATAATAGATAACTTTAATGAGCAAAGGATGAACAAAGATGGGCTATTACTAAACATTTCGATCGTTTAAATATTTTCGACTTGATGGTAACCTTTGCATATTTGTGTTTTTTGCGCAAGTTTTAAATGTATGCATCGGCAATACAAGGTAGAAAACTTTTGTAAAATAAATAATACATAGGTTTAACTATCCCGGCTATGTGCTTGAAGAAACCTTCAAAGCGAGAGCCGGCGTATGCCTGTTTGTTCGGGCGGATGTTTTTTGTGGCCGTCTGAGCTGCCTGGATGATCCCTACTCTCGATGTTGACATGTAGACTCTATAGATCCCATACCGACGATGCTGAGATAACGCGTTTCTTTGACCAACTAAGTTGGGTAGCATCTGATACCCAGGCGCACACAGAACTGGTGTTTTTGGGGGACTTCAACGTTCACCACGGTTTGTGGTTGGGCTTCTCCAAAACTGACTATGCAGGGATTACTGCTCAGCATTTGCTATCACGCATGACTTGACACAAATGATCGATCAGCCCACCAGGATCCCAGATATAGCGAGTGAAGCGCCTTCTTTACTGGACCTTCTGCTTACAAGCTGCAGGAGTATCGGGTTATGGTTCAAGCCCCACTGGGTTCATTAGTTCTGTGCCTGATATCTGCCAAAGTACCGCAGGCAAAACCTCACGACCATTGGTAGTCGAACGCAGGATATGGCACTATAGGTCGGCAGACTGGGATGGCATGCGCAACTATTTTGCATCCGTCTCTTGGGAGCAGCGCTGCTTCTGTGACAGGGACCTATTGGCCAGCGCCGTTGCTATTACTGAGGGGATTAAAATGGGAATGGAGTATTACATTACACATACCGATCTCATCAGTAAGGGTACACGTAATCGCTGTTTCAATGGCGACTGTGCTGATGCTGTTTCGCGTAAGCAGGCGGCATATCGCGCTTGGATCAGAGGTCGCGCTCTTAAGGATCTCGGGGTTGATTCACTGAAAGCTACCTATAATAGAGCTTCCAAGTCTTGCAAGAAGGCTTACATTAGAGCGGATGCCCAACGTGTTTCATGAAAAATTAACGCATCCTACCAACTCCCGTAGTTTTTGGCGTTTAGCTTAGGCCGTTAAGGCTCATTTCTTTGTCGTACTATTCGTAAGTGGGATTCTTTTCCCGCGCACGTGTTCCCGCTATCTTACAATTTGGTGTCCTTTAAGAGAGACGTGAAGAAGCATTTTTGCAGGCCGGCAAGGTGGGGATGGTTGGTGTGGCAGCTTACATATAACTGCTGCACCAGCTATTTTCGCGTTTCGACTTTACACTTTCCACTAAACACCAGGTAGGATTTGCATTTGCCTACCTAGCTGTTAAAAAGGTTAAAAATGTAATGATATTTTGCAGACTTTCAAAACGTATTTATTAAAAGACGCAAGGCTAAAGATGGCAACTATAAAATCTTCACTAAGGAGGGGGTATAAACAGGTGCCACTAAAACTAAATTTTAAACAGATACACTACTAAATAACACAGGTTTCAACGGTTTAGATGCACTGATTTATTTAGTAATTTACGTTTCGCATCCTTTTCAAGATGGGTCATCTTAATTTTTATTTAGTTTGTCGAGCTACCTTCGAAAGACTTTCGAAGGTTGTTCACTTATGCGTGAAAACCTAAGAAACAAATAGATATACTACTATTAGGAGATGATAAAATGAAGTTGTTCAAACTCCTATTTCAGATAAAATTAAATAGTAAGAGGGCTAATTAAGCGTTCGTGAACACTGAAGCAAGCACAATTATTTAATGCCTTAATTAATATGTATTTTTTCATAGCTTATTCTTTATTGATATTTTTTGCAAAAAAGATAGTAAACAATTTCAATAATATTTTTCTTTTACTTGGATCTACTGCTAGAATATAATACAACTTATTTCTGATATATCGAATATACATAATTATTGTAGTCTTCTGAAACTTCTCAAAGTGCCTACGCCTGAGTATGCTTTTAGAGGTATCAGAAGTATAATTTCAGATATTTTGAGGTCCAACGACGAGGATATTTTTAGACATTATTCATTTTATTAATGTCCATTCAAACCTGTTGTAAATATAACCTAACCTAGTTTAGACTTACCCAATACTTTGTTCTGTTTTGTACAGTTTCCTCTCGCATCTTCTTCTTTGTCGTGTTTTGATGTATTGTCGAATCTATTCATTTCAGATCCACAATATCGGGGCGCCTAAACGATTTTTTATTAAAAATCATCATTCGGTCCTGAGTCTCATGTAAACGTTTAATGGAGACACGTTTAATCACCACAATCCAAAGTTTGATAACCTTATGTTACCTACATCAAAATAATCTCACAGCACTACATTTTAAATTTCAAACTACAAAAAGTTTTGGCACATTTTTTATTCCTTATCCTTACATATTTTATCTGACGGAGGCTTTTGAGTTATAAATTTAAATATATCCGAACTTTATAATGATGCACTTGTGAATGCAACCTCTTTGGTGTTCGCGTAAATTTGGCGGTAATTTTCGCGACGAGCGGCAAGTGTGCTCTCTCGTCGGGTTCGGGATGAACTGCCGTGGGGTCCCGAGGGCGCTCTGTCTAAACCCTCATACATATAACCTGCGATGTATCGCCGAATCGGGATGAGAGCTCACTTAAAACTGTACACACAGGTGCAAGCTTTTCAGCCTTTTGTGTTCCACGAAATGTGTACGCCGCAAAAGCACGAACGTAATCCCCGTCTGAATGATTTGCATCAAAAAATAAAATATGCAAAATTCTAAAGTCATGGCAGATTACGGGCTATGCTGTCAGTAAATGTTGACATAGCATATATCGTATTATTTTGGTAATTAGTGTAACTTGCGAGCATATGACCCGCCTTATGGTAAACAGATGGATGGATGGATGGATTTTTATGTGAAATGAAAAACAAAAACATAATGCACCGTCAGCTGCTTATTATTTTTATATAGTAAGAGTAATTAAGAGATGGTGTTGTTCCAAAGACTGTAGGCGAACGATTTGTAACTATGTTTAGATGACTCAAGTGATACCATTGTGATATTTCCTATAGAAGTGGAGTCCAAACTGATATGAGTTTTCTTCTTAAGTTGACTTATATTTTGATCCTATGTTATCTCATCATGGCGATGACCTGAAGCTATGCATGGCCATCCTGAAAAAGTATTTCCTACCACACAAACATCTCTAACTCCTAACTGAATTAGGATAACTACGGGTTACGTAGGATATTCGAACATTCGTAACAAAAACAAGTCATAAATCATGTCTCTCGAACGGTTGACGTATAAAGGGAATGTAACATTGAACCCGATTTGTATTTTCCTGGGATACAAGAACGATGATGCAAAAACGTTACCTTAATGGCCTGCGCAGATGAGGGACGCTGTTTGTCGGAGGACAAAAGTCCCCCAACCGTGAAAAAAATGTCACGGACTCAATACACATAATGTGCGAACATTTGTTACCCGAAAAATTTAGAGAAGCGCACGCTATGAAAGTAAATATTCTTAGATATATCAATGAATTGATTCTTCTTGGGAATATTCATTGCTATGCAGATAATAGTACAGTGCATGCGAGATACTATGGACACGCAGTGGCTGGACAGGTAGAAACCAAGGAAAAACGGGAGAATCTTGTCGCTGAACTCAATCAGGCTTTGGATCACATTTCCGAATGGGATTCCAGGAACTTGGTTGGGTTCAATGCCAAGAAAACCCAGGTTTACGCTTTCAGGGCAAAACCATCACCATTCTTTCCCCTTTCCTCTCTTCAGGGCACAACACTGGCGCTACAGAGCAACATCACCATGCTCGGTATGGAAGTACAACCGAGAAACCGTGATCAAAACAGCTTCACGCAAACACGGAGTCCTGAACAAGGTGTGGCGTTTTTTCACGCCTGATCAACTGTGCTTGTTTTACAAAACGCAAGTACGGTCCTGCTTGGAATACTGCTCGCACTCCTGAGATGGCTCCGCTAAGTACTAACTCGATGCCTTGGATAGGTCGCAGCGGCGCGCTGCCCGCACCATTGGCGATGAAGAGGTAAATATCAAACTCGAGACCGCGACGAGGCATCATTAAGCGCATTCTACTGACTGTAACACGACGACTGTTCTGCGGAGTTATTCTCCCCTATCCCTCCATCACCTTTTTTTAATTAATATAAATAAAATATATAAATAATTTTAATTTCCCATGTGCGTTACCCGATGCAGTTGTAAGCGATTTATTTTGCATCTAACTGTCCGCGGACAATAGTGCCTCGTCTGCGCTGGCCATAAATGTGCTTGTCATAGTTTACGGGAAGCGCTGGCAATCTTTTTCAAACAATTATATCGTTTGAAATATAATAAAAAAATTACTTAGGTAGTAAACTTGTTCATTTGTTCCGTTGGAGCTGCCATGTCATGAGACAGCTGTTTAGATCACTTCAAAAGTCATAGCTTACGGTTCGCTTAATAAAGTTCATAGTGTAATCCCAGGGATAAACATTGACATTATATAAAGACATATGTCACTCAACTGGAATAAAGGGTAGGTTTTTATGGAATAGATACAGACGAGAGAACCCGGGCGTTGTCATATTATAAATCACAGCGGGCAGCGCTATTTCGGAGATAAAACTTCTAGTTTAGCTTTGCTTGGTTCTCACAAAATTGTATGCAAGCAACAATACACTCAAGATGACTTGATAAATCAGAAAGTTCATATGTAATAAGTTCATATAAAATTTATGATAAATCAGTGACTAGGCACATTTACCTCAGCGAATATAAACTTAATAAAGTAGTTTGAGAAAGTTTTTTGGTGAAAGATAACTTTTTTTAAATTACATAACTGTTTTAACTAGAGTAATTATAGAAAAAAATAGACTGTAAAGTGGACAGTGTCACAAAATATTTAAATTGATGGAATGAGACATTTATGTACAATGTGTTTGGGATGTTCTCAATTAAAATCCAAGTAAGTTTACCAGTATATTACCGATGTCAAGTTTTTACACTAGGAATTATGAACAAAATTTAATTTCTTATTCCATCGGGTAGATTATTAAAAAGTTACGGACACGTATTTTTTCCTTATACACATAATCTAAACATAATAGGCAGATAGATGATTTGAAGTATCGCATGACGACGACGTCTTGGTAAAAAGGACAATGGCGAACTCCCATACAATTTTTTGTTGAATTTTTTTTGCGTATATAAATGAATTGCATGTTCAATTATTTTATTGAGAATTAGATTCTCGATTTGATTCGTCTTATTTCTTTTATTAAAGGAAGTCAGGATTTATAGATATTCTACTTGGAACTTTTGGAGGTTATGTCATACCAAGTAATACGAAAACGAATTATAAAAGTATACCGGTTCCGTAGATTAGTGACGAAAAGAAATGTTTTATAACGTATGATCAGTAGGCGTAGGTACTGACCAACCGTGTCTAAATACTTTATAATGCTAAACAGATCAGGGTTATTTAGTTCGAATACAATGTCTGTGCTATAAGAAGTACTTAACAATTTGAAAATGATCACAGCAATAATAAAGTATAAAACGGGATTTATAATAGTGTACTGATGGGATATTAATTAAATATGAAACACTTTTTTATATATTTTTTATTCCATATCTTTGATCACAATATCGTAGATAGTAGATATAATGAAATAAACACGGACCTGAAAAAAGACGGTTTAACCTCGTCTTATCGTGAGTGAAGCATGCAAATGGCCGCCCGCTTACCGCGTGTGCGTGATTTGAGTGTTGTCGGGTAAATCATTAATTTCCCTAATTTTTAAATCTCCCAAACTAAAACATTGTTAACATTATGTAATCAAATATATAATATAATAATGGGATATTTACCACGTGTTCACTCGTTGTGAGCTTCCGATTTTTCAGCAATTAAAATAGTTGCACTTCAGAAACATGATGTAGGTCTATCAAATACATTTTTAAAAACACAGAGATAGAAAAGAAAGCACTTGTTATGTATAAAGAACTTTATTGTATACATATAAATATTAGTGTCTTAATATTAAGTATGAATTGAATAACATACATTAATATACATAAATAACGCAGATTAATGCTTAAAATAAAAATATAATAGACTAATATTGCAATTTTTCTTTTAAACGTGTTTCATTCATAGATTATGTAGGTATTTAAAGACTGATAGAGTGAGGAAAAGAGTTTTCATGCCAATCCTATAAGGTAGAAAAAGACGCAACATGATGTACCCTTGGTCTAATAATATATTTTTAGCAAGAGCCGCAGCGCCCTGTCAAGCCTTACTGAGATAAAATTTAATATGAAATTCTGTGTAACTAAGAAAACAATAATGCATATAACACAACACAATTGTGCTTATTACAAACTGAATAAGTAAGTGTTATGGTATCCTGTGTTTTAAAAATATCTTGATAAAACGACACTATCACTTATCGGATTCTTTACAGGCTCCGGTTTGAACGAAAAACAAACAACGTGTGCACTGCACACAGTACTGGACGGTGATGGGTTCCAATTGTTATCCCCTTTGCAGTATCGAATAATTAAAACCCAGTCATCTCTGCGGTTTCTATTTCTAGGGAACCTATTAGAAAGTAGGCATGACAATAATTTATATAAAATATTCTATGAATAATATGCCTTCTATTCTTTTCCTTTTGGGATACGGAATCCTAAAAAGTTACGAAATCTGATCTTGCCTAGTCACAAATGCAAGAAATACAAAATTCCCTACTTTTAGGGAAAAGTTCCCGTAAATAAAGTAGCCACACAGTTGTATTTTTGTTTACAATTTTCATCCTTGTAAATATAATATAGAATAATTATCAAAAAGCGTCAATACTTAAGCATGGTAGGTGATTCCTTGTGACTTTTCAAATGACACCCGGCATTTTGTGCCAAAGTTGTATACTTTTTTAATTTTTTTATCTGTGTTTCATAATTGGGTAACGTAGTCTGGCAATATTTGTCATCAGCAGCTAGCTGTCAATGTCAAATACGTAGGTTTGTCATCAAAAGGGTTTCTATATTAAAAAATATTAATCATTAAATAAATTCTTTCCACGATTCACAAAAAATAAGGCAAAAGTAGTTTTATGTAGCAAATAATTTTGGCTTTATTTTGAGACCAAATTCAACTGTATACAAGTTTAGCATTTTTTCTATGAAAAGTGCCGGGTCTCCTTTACTCTTGTAGTTTTTACAAGATTTCACCACACAAACGGCATTTAAAAAAAAAAAAATCGGAGCAATTGAACGTGTGACTGGCGCTGTCACGCGGGGTCAAATGGCAGCGAATTGTCCGACCTGGTGCATTAGTGTGAGCGTAGGTAGTGTACAACACACGATTTTGCCTGACCTTGCATGCTTCACATGATTTACCTTTGATATTACGTCCGTCTTTTTTTCAGGACCGTGGAAATAAAATCCACAGTATGGGACAGAATCGTGTCCAAAATCCACAGCAAGAAGTCGTCCGAAATATCAGATTCGGAAGTCTTAGACAAGCACTACTCAACAGTCGCAGGGAAGATTTCGAGAGTCCAAATGCAGTTCAAGTCATATAAAAATACAAATCTCAGAAAAAAACGTTGCAATACGCATGCACTTATGC